GGAAATTTGCAGAATTATTTCAATTGTCTTTGGGCTTCCCTCGCGCTAGTACCCTGTCCCTCTTGGCAGAGGTGCTCCTGGGAGGGGGGCTTCCTCATGCCCTTCCCTTGTCTCCCAGGCCCTTTCCTAACCTCCTGCAATGCCAAGAAGGGGTGTGAATGCCACTCCAGCTGGCAGCGGCGAGCGGGAAGTGGGGGAACCTGTGTCCAGGGGCAGGGGGGCAGGACCCCATGATGGCCCCTGGGTGTCCAGCTGCGGTCCCAGCAGAGGGCTACCTTACACACACCGCGGTCAGTCAGGTTACTTCTAGAGCTTTCTCCTACCTCCCTTCCCCGGGCAGAAGTCCAGTGTGAAAGCTCTGCCCTGGGTGCCCTTTTCTCAGCTGGAACAGTACCAGGGAACAGAATTAGCTACAGGTGGAGTCGCATTGACCTTCCTGGGGGCCAAGCTGTAGGAAACTGCTAAAGAGAGACACCTGGCAGTAGTAGCAGCGGTGCTGGCCGACATTTTCTGGTCCTTTTGCTCTTAGGGTGCTGAGCGCTGTACGGTCGTGTCTGAACAGCACGGAAGGGTCTGGCGTGATCCTTGTCTGCGGGTGAAGCCGCTGAGAGCAGAGTCACTGACCTGGCCAAGGGCCAGTCAGGATCTGAAGCTGGGTCTGCCTGAGCTACACGGCCCCGAGGGGAAGAGAGGAGCATCGTGACCTTGGGTGCTGCAGTGGGTAGTGGTGGGGGGCGACCCAGGGGCAGGGGCATTTCTGGCTTGTCCACGGTGTCTCCACTGAGACCTGCACGTGCCCCTCTCCACGTTCCACAGAGAGAGGTTTAGAGGGGCTTCCGGGGTGCCCCCTACAGTCAGCGGTACCCGTGTCCGGTGCCGACCCTCCCTTCCCACCCCCCCAGCTGGTGAACCGGCACGTGTACTCGGGCAGCACCGACAGGACGGTCAAGTGCTGGCTGGCAGACACGGGCGAGCGTGTGCGCACGTTCGCGGCCCACAGACACAGCGTGAGCGCCCTCAAGTACCACGCGGGCACCTGTAAGTGACCCCGCCCTCCCCGTGGCCCCAGCCTGCCTGTCCCCTTCACACCCCGCCCCCCAGCACATCCGCTCTCGCCCAGACCTCTCTGCTGCTTCTGAGTGCACTCTTCCCTCTTTGAGCCTCAGCTGCCACTCAGTTTGGTTAGCGGCCAAGGGCGGCGGCTGTGGCCCCTCAGTGCACGTGTTTGTTCCTCCAGCAAAAGAAGTTCCAAATAAGCGTGTAGGGGCTCCTTCCCGCCTTCACCCCGCTAGGACGTGCAGCGACCTGCTTGTTCAGAGGACCTCAGGTCAAGAGCAGGTCTCAAGGACACATTCTAATTCTCGAGACAGTGACACCACTTAACTCCAGTCAGACTTGAGGGCTGCATGGGTTTGGCTTCACTTGGCATTAGGTTTGACTACAGATAAGAGAAAGTCCAGATGACGGATTTATATGAGATAGTGGTTTATTTCTCTCTGAGGTAAAAGAATTTCAGAGGCTGGCGGTCTAGGCTGGAACGGATGGCTCCACAAAGTTGTTAAGACACCCAGTTTCCTTTTTTCACTTCACTTCATCATCCTTAGCATGTATCGGCCATCTTTAAGGGGGGCCTCCTGGTTCAAGATAGCTGCTGGAGCTCCAGCCATCATACGTTTTAGGCAGGCAGGAAGAAGAGGGGGGAAGGGCAAAAGGTTGTGTCTCCTAGATGAGGAGGCCCCTTTAAAGATCTTTCCTGGAGACTCCACCCAAAGACTTCTGCATACATCTCTGACCACTGCCTGCAAAAGAGACAGAATAATAAAAACCCTTATCTGGGGATACTGCCGCCAGGATTAATCAGGGTTATTTTGGAAAGAAAGAAGGTCAGTGTGGCTTACTGGGTAGTCAGCAAGCTCTCTGTCCCACAGGTCTCAAACTGTCACACATCTGGGCTTTCCTGGCTCTGTCCAACTGGCCAGTTGTTTACACCCCAGACACATGCAGAAGACAGGCACTGTTCTGGGGAAGCAAAACCCACAACCTCACCACACCTACATGGGAGTGGGGCTCCCAGGTTCCTGGACATCTCTTTCCTAAAACGATCCTCAATGTTATATTTTGCCATCAGCATCCTCTCTCTCTCTCTCTCTCTCTCTCTCTCTCTCTCTCTCTCTCTCTCACACACACACACACACACACACACACACACACACACACACCTGCAGCAGGAAGCCAGCCCCCCCCTAGGCGAAGCTGAGCCTGAGAACCATCTTCCTAGCACAGCAGTGAGGGAGCAGACTGGGGTGGGGGGGGAGCCACAGTGGAAAATTCAAGTTGACTTCACAGCACAGGTTTTAGATGAAGATAGAATGCATTTCCGAAAATAGAGCATGAGATGCCCTCAGGATTTAGGTGTCTGACGCAGAAAAATGATTTTTTTTCCTGTTCCTGTGTCCAAGCCTGTAAGTGTGATTATGGCTCTGCTCCTGTCGGGGACCTCTAATTTAAAGAGAAGAACGTTGCCCAGAGCGCCTCCCCGTGGCAGAGGCTGGGATGAAACCTGCCGCTGCAGCAAATCCCACAGACCCTACTTGCTGCCCGCTGTTCAGGAACGAGGAACTTGGTCCTTGGTCTTTGCCGACAGGCTACAGGATGATCAGACCTAATTCTGGACCCTCTTCGCACCCTCAGGATGCCCAGTAACCACAGTGCATTGGTGGAGGGGAAGGCAGGAAAGGAGCTGAAGAGAACGAGAAATGAAACTTTCCCTCCAAGTACACATTCACTAGTAGCTTTAGCAGCAAACCTGGGACTAGGCAGGTGACACAGGAAATGGGATGAGGAATAGACACCCCAAGGACAGGGATCCCCCAGGGGGTGCTTACTGTGGCTCACTCAGGCTGCTGGGTGGCTGTAGCAGATGTTATGGGTACCACGCTCAGGGGTACTTCCTGCTGCAGCACCTGAGGTCCTCTGCCCGAGGGTGTTTTCCTGTGAGGCAGGTCATGGGAGGGCTGGGAGTTGAAGGATAAGTAGCCCAGTGTCCTTGTTCCTGGGTGGAACAACTCTTGAGACCCGGTCTGCCCCTTCTCCCAAGGGCCCCCAGCAGTCACCTGCTCCCTTAAACACCTGCATGGGAGTCCTTCCTTCCTGTTTCTCTCCCCACTTCCTGGAATGCCCTGCCAGATGAACTGTTTGCACTCGAAACCTAGTGTCAGGGTCAGCTTCCGGGAGAACCCGGGCTAAGATGATGTGGACCAGGGAGTTTCTCTGGCCAGTGCCGTCAGTGTGGTCCCTGACCAGCAGTGTCAGCATTACTTGGAATTGGCTAGACATGCAGGTTCTCAGGCCCCACCCCAGACCTCCTTAAATGAGAAGCTCAGGAGGGCCCAGCCTGCCCTCGGGAGTTTGAGAACTCTTGGACTAAGTTATAATGTAGGAAAAAGCCCAAGGGAGGCAGAATCGGGAGGTTCCCCTTGGGAGAGGTTGGGCAGGGGCCCCCTAGTGAACCCCGGAGGCGCTGGGTTGTGTTTGGAGGGCCAAGTTCATTACTGGGGAGGGGGAGGAATGAGTTTCTGGTTGGTCCTTGCCCCAAGAGGTTGCTCAGACGGTGGCGGGGGGGGAGGGATGACC